GTCTACTTTCATTGACGATGAAGAATGTTTAGTAATGTCTGACTTTTTCGAATGGAAAAATCTCTGCTTTCCGTACGAAGATTATTCAACTTTCAACCTGAATGAGATGACCGAGTCCGAGTGTCTGTCAGAGGTTAGTTTTGGAAAAAGAGACATTCCGATGCGATAGCTGTTTTCCATATAAAATTCATTTCCTCTATATTAAAGATATATGATTTGCCTTTCCTAAATACGTACAACTAAATTTATCACTTACGAGTTCGCTCGCTCGGCCTCCACAGCTCAGTGTTGTCTTCGAAGTAAACACAATTCATCAGTCGAATTTTCAATCAATATCGCTTGTTAGGAGAAAAAAGAAAGGATATCTGGATTTACGAGGATTAAAAATACAAAGCCCTTTGAAAAATCGCCTAAAAACAAGGAGTTATACCTGCCAAAGCTTCTGGATTGCAGGACGACGTGATTCTACTATGTTTGGCGTCGTCGACGACACCACGACGACGAAATTTGTTAATCGCGCTTGCGCAGTGCACGGTATCTCACTTCCGGTCGTCGTCGACAAAGTCGTCGTCGTGGTTCTTAAGTTCCCTATTCACTATATTAAACGTCTTTAAAAATAAGAAAGATATTATTAAAATTTTAGTTTAAACTTGTATCATTAATATTAATCATATCAATGTGACATTTTTTGCAATAATTATAACTAGCGGCTAGGATTGATTTGTGTAGGATGCTTCACGCACGAAATTGATCAGATTATTACAGATTTCCCATAAATCTGGTATTTGCAGTTTATCTATTGGAACATGCAATTTAGGTGTCGTCCCGGACGTCCCGGGGTGGTACATTTGCACCCTATTTTTAAGCCCCACCGTGGGGTTTTATATGAACGCCCTGCCCCACTGTGGGGCATTTCCAGCTTTTTAACTGATCCACGTAACTACATGACAATGACTTGAAAGTGCCCTTCTGTGGAGGGCGAAATCACAATACAGCGACTTTCTTTTTCTTCTCCTGAATTTCGATACAGTCTTAAGACGAACTGAACGAGATGGAAAAAGCGCGAATGCACTTTTTAAGCGACGTTTTTGTAGCTGTGACCATCGTTGTTGCGTTCCCTCCCGAGAACGTGAAGTAAAATTACGTCACGTCGCTTAAGACAAGTTTGATAGGTCAGTTATCTTTTTTTCTCATTATAAATATGGTACTTGCGAAAATGAAAGTTCACGAGCATCCGAGAAAGCGAACATATGAGAGTGGTACATGTTTCAAGACCCCTCATGAGTTTCTGATAACAGATTTCCCACAAGTATGGTATTTGCAACTTATTTACTGGAAAATGTTTAGGCCATTTCCGAGTTCCCCCGGGCCTCTGTATGAAAACGAGGTTAAGTGCTCGGCCTTTGTTATGAAATCATGCAAATAAAACTCATTTTCACAAGAAAGGTTGTGCACTTGGTCTCGTTTTGAAAGTGAAGGTTTTTGGATCTCGGAAGTGGCTTATTTGTTGTCCCGGGCTGGGGCATTTGTATCTTCTCTTTAATGCCCCACCGTGGGGCATTTTCACCTTCTCCAAAACAAAATGACAAATGCCCGACAAATGCCCGGGCGGGGGGAATGGGCACGCTTGGAATTGACTGGGTCCTAAGTGTTCACGAGTGTCATGTGTAAGCTTCAGACGCAAGACCTAAACGTCCTCCTTATGCATGGACAATTTCTCAATATTCCGAATTTCGCTTGTTTGATCATGTCAGTGGTTTTGTTTCGTCGCTTCGGCCGTTACGCTTGTTTAGTTGGTTTCGTTTCGGTGTTTCGGGTTTTAGTACATGCCATGTCGGGGGCACCCAACGACGGTTTTCTTTTAAATACATTGAAAACACTTTTTAGGTTATCCAGAGTACTTTTATATCTCTAGAAATGCATTCTCAGTGGCGCTATGAAATTTGTATCTGTTCGATCATCCTAGGGCATCGAAATTGTTAGGGCTTCAGTCACTTACTTTCCCGAACAATTTTAGATGTAATTTAACGCTTTACGAAAGTGAAAATTTTTCTATTTCCTCTCTTCATCGCATTTTTTTTTATTCCGAAAATTTTAGGTTTCCTTTTTATTACGAAAAACAACCAAACCTGGGGAGCAGATGACGATCGAATAGTATCCCATGATGCACCTCGTTTCATGTTATATTATCACCGCGTACCAGACTGGGGAGTGAAATGTGAAAAAAGTTCAACCCCAGAAAATCGTTGGGAATTTGTTAGGTAAACTTCGAAAACTGTGCCGGATTGGAACAGTCACCCAGAAATTTTGAGCCGTCTTCAAGTAATACATATTTTACAGAAAACAGTCGCTGGGTGCCCATGATATGTATGACGACAAAATTCAAAACCACTCGCAAAGATAACCTCCCAGTGATCCCCGTTCGCTCCTATCGTCTCACCGCTTCATTCTCAGTCTTGTAATTCATTAACTTTTATTTCATGATACCTAGATCCTAGCGGCTGCAAAATCGTAAAAATGGACGTATACAGGAGCCCATCATAGGCTCCTGACGTATAGTATTTTGGAAACGATTGAAAGACGGACTTCTGATTTCCACTTTATTTTTTCACGGTGACATACGGGACTCTCGGAAATATGACACTTTTCGCGGGATTCAAACCGTTCTATCAGTATAAATCAACTCGGGAAAGGGTTGACTCAAGAAATCAATGGAAATACTGAGAGGATTCTAGTGATGGGCTCCTGTGCTAACCCATTTTGCGTGGTGCCTTTTTGTGGTGGCTCAGTATTCTTCATTTTACCAAGACTCTGTTTTTACCAGCTTTGACACGGTATATTTCAGATTTGACTTATCTCTTGTCACTTTTAAGTTATTGAATTTTGTCATAGATATACTGTCATTCATGTTCGATATGGCATTTATATTGTCATGCTAATTTGGATATTTATTTCCCTGATTTCTCTACCTCGCGGGAGGAAAGTTTTCGCTCTAGCCTCCCCCCACCATCCCCTCCCTGGCTTAACCGATCGAATATCGATTTTATCATTATCCGTCGCAGAAGTCACAGACTTATTGTAATGGCTTCCTGCTCTCAGAAGATCGAGAAGTGGACTTAAACTCTCGACCATTATTGTGTAAATGGAATGTCAGGAAGATACTATGAAGGAGCCAGCAACGCCAATATGTATTCTTTCCCGAATGAAGCTGGCAAACCAAGTCAGGTTTCTTCTCCTAATCCGTCGCGAAGCAAGGTGAAGCGAGAAGGTTTCCATGAAAGCTACTCGTATCCGTTGGCACGGGAAACGCTAAAGCGAAACGCCGAAGAAGGAAACAAACGCGAGGTAAGCTTAACTGTTACCCTGGAGTTAAGTCTTATTATTCTACAGTTGTGTGGAATAAACCTTGTTGCGCTTGAATGACGCTTTGGCTTGTTCCTGGAGCGCTTTTATATGCTTTCACGGCTTGTGGACACTCATTCAAGCGTGTTTACGCGGTAATTTTTATACCTGTCTACGCACTTGTGAGATAAAATTTCATTTCCAACTAATTTTCCACCTATTTATCACGAATCCAGACATTTTAAATAAAATTAATAAAACTGCCTATATTTTTAATGAATATAGAAATTCCATCTTTATTAATTAAATGCATCGAGCATTTTTTATTAACAAAAATGTCCTCTTGCCTTTCGCTCTGGCGGGCGGCCGGTGAAGTGTTGACATGTTCGATTGTTTGATGACGATAAATTTCGATAAGTGCATTCATTTGTTCGTTCGATCGACGCATAATAGAACTTTTAAAACACGCATAAACTTTTAGGTAACCGACCCTGTTGCTTTCGGATTACTTTGTATGAATTTGCATATTGTATCCATGTTATAATACTTGCTAACGGTTTTAACCTCCATAGCGACAGAATACCCGTCATTGACGTTATTGATCATACTTTTTTTGACGCTAAGGTTTAGTTTATATCTCGCATTTAAATGTTAAAACTTTCTAGCTATTTCTCCAAGGGTTTGTTTTGTCTAAATGACTCAAAGAAAACACAAGTGCAGTATAGCTTTCCTATATTAAAGTACTTCCTTAAAAACTTGAAGAAAATTATGGCTTACAATAATAAAAACAAGCTAGCCGTTTGCAAAAAGGAAAAAAAAAACCGGCAAAATGCTGTTAGAGTAACAGGAAAATGTTGTGTTAGAAGTTGAAAGTTAGAAGATACAGTCAGATTTCTGTTGATTACTTACGTCATTGTTACATTTGTAATGTCTTTACATAATGGGCTTAGGGGTGCTGGTATGTGAATAAGTTGTAAATTCACCACAGTTAATTGGATTTAGGGAGGTTCTTCAGCCAAACTCAGACTTCATATATAAATGCAGAATAGTCAGGAATACACAGGATCAAAGCTAAAAGAACACCTTGTAACTGTCAAAACTGTGAAATACAGTCAGCTTTCTTTTTAAATGGACCACCAGGCCCCAGCGGGAGGAGGGGGGGTACTTCCTTATATAAGCTATATAGGTATGCGCCGCCTCATCAGGTTGGGTTTTTGCACCTTTTAAGTCCGAAAACTGGTATAGGTTTTGCCCATTTTGGTCTGGAATCGGGTATGCTTTTCAAGGCAACTATGAGAGTGTATGAACATATTTATAGTTTCAATTCCAAATGAGTAAGAAAGAAAAAGAAATATGCAAATTCTAAATGGATTTGAAGAATTTTTTTGTTTTCACTCTAATCTTAGTAATAATGACATAATTTCTGCCTTAAGGCTAGGTCCTGAAAATGGGTATGGATTTTAGAGGTCTGGTCTGAAAACAGGCGTGGAAAATGACAGTTTTTGGTCTGAAAAAGGGTCAGGATTTGAAGAACTGGGTGGCACGGCCCTGCCAAGAATTCCCAGGAGTACCCACCCAGGGCCACCAGGGCCAAGTTGTTAAAGCCCAGTTAGTGGTTCTTTTAAAAAACAGGTCATAGGATTTTTATGGTAACTAATCTTGGACGTGTACTATTCCTCTTTCTAAAAACTTTGCCCAGGTTAGGGATGAAGCTGAGGAAAAGCTAAGCAGGATTTTTTACTCAACTGCACCTTTAAAATGTTTTCCAGAGCAATTTCAGCCGGTGTAAGCTATTTTTTAGCCAGTGAAATAAGCCGGCACCCCCCCGGCTCTTAGTGACATCCCAGCCAGGTTTCCCCTTTATAGATATTCCATGAAAATGGCTGAATAATGACAGAAAACTTAAGCTGTCTTTTTGAGAGACTGGTGTCCTTCACATAAAGGCTTCTGGTTGCCAGCCTAAGAGCCCTTTCCATTTGTTACAACTGGCTGGCCAGACGGGTCAAGTTGTAAAGAGAATTCCTCTATCATGACTATCCAGCCAGATCAGTCTTTTTAGAAAATGGTATGCTCGACTGTGGTGGATTTTAGAGAAAATTTCATGAAAAGACTAATGTTTCATTTTCAAAATGACTGGTCCAGCCAGCCAGTTCTGACTTTTGGTATTAAGCCCCTAAGATTGAGATGGCTATTAAAATACATGTGTGTACTAATATTTTAACAGCTGATCTAAGAATGTCAGTAAGAGTTGTCCTCTGCTATAATTTTACTTGGCTCCCAGTGGGGGGAGGAGGAGGGTACTCCTGATTTCAAGTGATGGGGATGATTGAATGGGGGGCAAAAATCAAAACTTAAAAACATCCCAAGGGGTTGCAACAAAACCCCAAAAAATTGTGGACCAAAAATTTAAAAAAAAAATTTAAAAGATCCCCTGTCTCACTCAGTTTTTGAGATGGGATGTTTTGTATGGGGCTCTTTAATTATTATAAATTATTATGGTAATAATTATTACCATAATTATAATAGCTATTTAATTATTAAAGGGCTATAACTTGAATCTTAATACACAATATCAGTAGAAAAAAGTTTGTATCACTTTTAAAGTTACAATTAATTCATACTTCATTATTTATGTAACTTGGTTTATTTCTAAGTTTTATGAAAACTAGTTTTGACAAGGCTACAAGCAACATAGTACCTTAAATTGATCACTGAACAATGCTTTTAATCAATCAACGTTCTTTTGACACTGTCTTACATTATTCTGTCTTGTGTCCTATTCATGGAGTGTAGGCTTTAAAAGGGCCTCTATTATTTCCCATACTACAATATTTTTTATTGTTATGCAAAGTCATGATAGGTTTCAGCAGTCAGTGAACCATAAACAAGCTGCCTTACATGAATCACTCAACATTCCATGTCTGTTGTTGAACCAAATTGTGTTTTCTATCGGTAATTTCTTGCTTCAGAGCGTTGTTCGTTTGAAAGTGTCACAAACCAATGGACACATTTTAAAAACTTTTTCACATGAGCTTTGATACATGCTCAGTTAGTTCAAATAATATTATTTATTGTGCTACGTGAGTGGCTGTGGAAATGGTTTGATCTATAAGAATATTGAGAAGCAAAATGTCTGACAAGGAGAAGAGTAATTCACAGGGTGATTATACGGTAAATAATGTGATAATCTATCATTATTGCCTCGGATCAATTCATCTGATAACTTTCATAGAAATGATAATATATTATGTTCATGCCGAATTTTGGACTTTATCGTTCAAGTGAAAGTTCAAGAGTAGTTCCTTAAATTTACATAGTTTGTTCCTGTATTGTATGAGGTAATTTTTTGTGTCAGCCCTGGTTCTGGAATGTGGGAGTTAAAAACTTTGCTGCAATGTTCATCTTTTATATTGTCTTCTTTGATAGGAACAGTATGTTGCTTGGGTGAACTCACAGCTAAAGAAGAGACCTGGCAGTCGGTTTGTGCGTGAAATTCCTCGAGATACTAAAGATGGAGTTGCTTTGGTTCAGTTAGTTGAAGTTTTAGGTGAGATCCCTTGAAAATAGAATCAATAAGTGCTGCTTATGTTTGACAAGAGTATTGGAAGCATGATGACATGGTGTGTTTTTAATAATCTCATTAAGTATCACTTGAGTGACCTTTAGGCTTGCTTCATCAAATATTTACCCTCTTATAGTTATTGCTGAATCTAAGTTAATTAAAAGAGGCTAGTGTGTGATGAACATTGTAAAGCTCTGCTCAATTTAGGACAGAATGCTAACTCAGATTATTTTGTGTGCAGTATAAAAAGGTTAACTAACAAAATATTACCTTTGTTTTTTAATGGAATACACTGTAGGCTAAAAAAGAATTAAGTTATATATTTCTATAACGGCACAATAATTTAGTCCATGCATTGTTTATTAATGCACTCTATAATAATTATTGCAATAATTGTTTGGTGTGTGCTAATTATCTTTCAGAACTAATTTTAGTGGTGTGGTTTGACATATTTGAAGAATAACCCTATTGTATACAAGATGTTTTGTGGTTGCCTGTTATTAAATCTGTCATTTTGGTGATTCTGTAAGATTATTATTTGTTTATTACAACCTGTTCCATGGTATATGTCAAGTATTTATTTTCTTTTTTAATTGGTGCAGGCTTAAAAAGAGTGTTGTTAGAAGTTAGTTTAAAAACCACTTTCCAGAATGTTTTCTTTTAAATGAAAGTTTTTTGTGGCTTGTCAACTGAGTTTGTTTTTGAAATAAACAGCCAAACAGGTAAATGTACATGTGATATTATTAAATTAGCTGTATCGGTTTTGCTATTGCACCAGCGAATTCTGTTCTTAACTTACTATCCACTTACCAGTTTGACATGACTGTATTATGGGCTCAAGTGTACAACTCATTGAGGTGACGTTTTTTTAGACTATCTGCTGATCAGTTATTGCTTTTTAATTGATCATGGGCTCAGGTCCAAAATTTTCATTGTCAAAGGAACTATGTGTTGTGGATGGTTTCGATTGCATCACCGGGTTCATTTGTGCTCATGAACGTGACCTTAAATTATCTCTTATGCACGGTTATTGAAAATTACTTCCGGTGTGTTTTTGTATTCATTTTAAGAATAGCACTAAAAAAACAGGTCTTATAATAAATAACTTATTAACCTCGTCCGTTCGGTTATTGCAGGGAAATCTCAGACCAGGCCTTGACCTGCCAGGTCAATACGTCATGGCCTAGGTCTGAAATTTCCCTGTAATGACCTCACTCTCAGTCTCTAAGTAGTATTTACTGGATTATGATTCAGCTGATAGATCGTTGTTCACAGTACCCTCAAACTGATTGTGAGCTGTCAGATAAAGCTAAGATTTTGAGTCCTTATCCCTTTTGATGGTGGTAAATAAGGGAGGTGGTACAGCAAATGATTGTTTAATAATACTGGGTCATACAGACTTTGTAGTATAACTTGTGTATATTAGTCTCATTGTCTAATGTGCATTTAATCATATTTTTATTTCAAAATGCATATTAAATGTTATATATTATTATTATTCATTTTTTTGTCTTGGTCCATAAAATTCCAAAATCCAGCCATCTTAAAAGGAATAACCTAATGCTTATAGTCAATAACACATCCGTAAAATTCTGAAAATAAGCCCCGGGGCTTATATTTTTCAAAGGCCCTTTTTGAGGGGCTTATTTTTGAAGGGGCTTATATTCGGAGGGGCTTATCTACCGATGGAAATTAGCGTTTCAAAACCGATTGGGCTAGCTTATAGTTGGAAGTAAATTTACCGTTTTTGCTTTATTTACTTGGTATTTAAGGGCAATTTTCCAAGTACAAGCCCCCGGGGGGCTTATATTTGGAGGGGCGATTTAATGGAGGGTTTTTTGCGTTATCGCTTTGGGGGGCTTATATTTGGAGGGGCTTTTACATGGAGGGGCTTATTTTTGGAATTTTACGGTATATACTTCTCAGCTTGTGATTTGTGCTACCTATGATAATGCCCCTCTAAACTGACTTTACATGTGTATTAATTTCATTGATGAAATTAACCAAACTTTTGTGGTTCATCATTTACACAGTTTCTTTTATAACTAACCCTTGAACTTTGTTTTCAAGCTCCCTGGGCCAATTTGTAGAATTTCAAGAAGTTTTGAAAATATTTTACATGTAACTTACACGTGTAACAACAAACCCTCAAAATAAATAATTTAAAAAGTGATTAGTATTCTCAGAGGTCGCAGTAAGGTAGCACCTCTTACATTATAAGAATGCCAGTTATGTTAAATATGGATCAATTTCTCTTAATTGACAGAAATGTTGAACCTTTGATCAGAAGTGTTATGGTACCAAGAATAATGTACTGTGTCTGTTAGATAACTACTTGTTTTATGTTTACAGCTGTTAGTGTAGTATCAGGTGCAACCAGAATCTGAAGCTATGATATATCTGTATTATTGGAGACTTTAGGATCAACAAACTGACTTTAAAAATGTTCTAAATTATCAATTCTGATTTTTTCAGCTGGTGAAGCTCTTAAATTTGATGAATCACCAGCAACATACGCATCCAAGAAAGAAAATGTGGATCAAGTCTTGCACTTTATGGCAGCACAGAGAATTAAAATGCGGCAGATCTCCTCTAAAGGTACTGAATATTGCATTAATTTTTCAGAAATTTGTTGTCTTTGAGAAGATATTCAAAACATACTGTACTATCCCTCATGTAAGAACCTATTTTGCAATAACCTGTTGGGCTAAAATTTGGCAGTTAGATTCCTCCTAAACTATCACCTTTTTAATTTGGAACAGGTTCTTTACTTCTAAAATCTATATAAAACATTATTTACTTTGAGGGAGGACTTCAAACAAAATTCATGTCATCAGAGCAACCTTGTGATGAGGGAGTGACCCTGCCTAGGGGAAGAAGTGGTATTTCTAAGTGTATCATGCTACAAAAACAGCAGCAGGGTAATGATTCGGCCATGTGGGCTTGCAGGGTTGTCAGAAGTTTTGAAGTAGACGGCTGAGTTTTCAAAGTAAACGGCCAGTCCAGGGATATTTTACTTAAAGAACACCATCCATAAAGAAATGCCAAGCAAATTAGCCGGCCGATATTAACCAAGTAGGTGCCGATTTTCGCAGGCAGCCGGCTACTTTTGACAACCCTGGGCTTGTGGGTTCATGTGTTCCTTACCCTACCTTTTTCAAGTAAGTGCAATCTAATAAGTGCAGCTGTTATCGACCAGATTTTCAAAAAAGAAACGCATCAGAAGACTTTCAAGTACTGTGTAGGCCCTAAAATGGCCTTACAACATGGCTATCAGTAGAAATCCACCTAAAATACCTCTTTTAAAGTAATTTTGTAAATAAAACCTGTAGATATTGCATATACATTTGCTTTCCTATTATATCCGTGAGTTTGGGTAGGTCCCACAGGTAGGTCCAGAAATATAATGTTGGTCTTGAGCTTTTTGTAATCTGGCAAAGTTTCATGCTTTTATCATAAAAGTGAATTATTCACTATATTTTTGGTCAATAACAGCTGAGCTAAATGACACTGTGACAGATTTATGGTCCTGCGGATGATAAAATAATTGCAAAAATTCCATTTTGTTTCAGAGATTGTGGATGGCAATGTGAAAGCCACAATGCGATTGGTACTTGCTTTAGCTGCACACTTCAAACCTGGGAGTGTCAAGCCAGCAGCGCATCAGAGTGGCAGCGCCCAATCACCCCAGGCTACCAAGCTAACCCGCAGTCCATCTGCTGCGGCAGCTGCTGCTGAGGCGGCTGCTGCTATTGGAGAAGCCAGTAGGAAAGCTGCAAGCGCAGGGAGACACATACGAATGCCCTTCAGGCTTAGGTAATAACATTGTTAGATTTGTTAGCTGTCTTACAGGGTGCAAAGAAAGTCAGTTTTACAGCTTGCCTGAATAGCAAGATGTAGCTACCGTGTACTAGCCCAAAAGTCATTTCAATTAGTTCGAATTCTCCATAAAACTTCACTTGCCTCTCTGGCAAGTTAAGAACAGAATTTGCTAGTGCAGTAGCAAAAACCACCTGCCTCAGGCTATTGGACACTAGTTTATTTGCACACTATCTTGTGCCATTTTTTTTTTAAAAGATGTGATTAGTCATCCCTGAAAGTTATTGTCAGGGAAAAGTCCAAATTATAAAAGTAAATCTAGAGAACTATAACAGTCCTTGTCCTCTGATTGAATTATTGTTTGGTACTGTTAGTTTTTATTGAGGAGAGAGAAATAAAGAGGAACCTAAAAAAAAGAAACTTGAATTACATGTTGGGCTAAGAACCAACAACAAACTCAACTCAGAAGGAAGGATGGAAGTGAGAATTCAAACAGCACCATAGAGCTGAGAGGCATTTGGCATAGGACTGGACATACAGCCATCTGACTGAACCACCTTTGCTTCCTTGTATATTAAAAAAATATTTGTTTATTTAATGTTTTTGATGATTTTAGGAAGCAGCCCAAGGCAACAACCCCTGGAACTCCAAAGTCAGATCATCGTGCTTTGGACATCAGCCCTTCAAATACTCCAGTTCTTTCTTCGTCACCCCTAAACTCCCCCCTTAATAGAACACCTATAAAGAAAGTGAATCGACAATCCAACGCCGAGGTTCGACACGACAAGGACACTGGTTCTGGAGGCTCTAACCATAGTAGCGGCAGTTCTACTCCTAAGCTTCCTCGACAAGACTCTGACACTCTGCAGTCAATGTCAGACTCTGAGTCAGTCATTTCTTTACATGGACTTAGTCGGAATAATAATACTGGCATTTTCCCAAATTTAGAGTTTCTCCGTGAGGTAACTGAAGGGTATGATGACATGGAAGAGGATACAAGTAATGTAAAGGAAATGCTTCTGCAGCTACAAAATTTGGTGAGTTTTAATGTGTAAAAAGGTGGTCACAAAGACCTAGAAATTGGTTGTAAAAAAAATGACGCTTATAGATAATTTTTGCCCAAACTCCTACTGTAGGTTACCCTGTAGTCCAAATTAACTGTAAGCCAGTGAAATGTTGTGTACAAAGTTGAATGTGATTTGTGCGATGCAAATTAACTTGTAGGGGAACATAAACATTTTATAGCTGGCAAGCATTTCATGAAAAAGCACAGGTAGGTGAACCTTGATACAAACTTTAAAGTCCTCAAGAATTGCTGATGGAAACTTGAGTGTATTAGAAATGTTATTATCATTAATAAATACACAATATTTCTGGCTCCCTTTGTTTACATTTTTATTGTCATTTTCCATTGTAAATATGCCTTTTTAACACTTTCTTTTTCTATAACAATTATATCCACAAACAGTATTACTTTCCTAGCTTTGGCTGATAATGATGTCATTAAATCATCAGATAGTCAAATTTCTTTTTATTGTTAATTTTTGTTTTAAATTGGGTCAGAGACTGCTTATATTAGCAGTTATTCTGAATGTTAACCCCACCCTTATGCTTTACTGAAATAATTATATAGAGGATATTACAACGTGGCGCAAAGATATGAATTTTATTTTCGAGTGGCAAAACCATATTTTATGAACGAGTGCAGCGAGTGAGTAAAATATTGTTTTTGCCACGAGAAAATGAAATTCATAATAAAAGCGGCCATGTAATGTTCTTTTTATTATATATACAAAAAGACATCGATAAAATAATAGAATTTTATTTGCCAAAAAGTAATTGTGATGGCTCAAAGTTACAGTACAGCAATATAAGACATTGTTTACTAGAATCTTGAGAAATAACAGTGAGCTGAACAAGACTCTACAATGATAAAATATAAGCAAAGCTTTGAAAAATGTGTGAGTAAAATTTGAAAAATGATACGTAATTACCGAAGTTACATCGTCAATAAACTTGCTTGTGAGATTATGGAAAACAAACCACTCAGTCTCGGATCTAGTTTTTATCAGTTTTACGAGTGGTTTATTTTCCAGTAAAACACTTGTGTCTATATAATAAAAAAATATATTACTACTGAAAGCTTTGATATGCATGTGTTATTAATTTTTCTAGTTGTTGAATGGCCGAGTGGAGGAAGATGAAATTCCTGAAGAGTACTGTGGTCTTGAGGGGTCCACAGTGCAGGAACAGCTCACGATTGTAAGCAGCCGTCTTGATCAGAGAGAAGCAGATTATGATAGTCTGAAAACAGAACTAAATAAAACAAAAGAGGAGTGTATTAATCTACAAGGTAACTGACAAATCAGGGTGCAAAGAAAATCACGTTTACAGCTTTTCATTCAGGCAAGCTGAATTGTTATTCAAATTCCTCAAAAAACATCACTTCTCCTGCCGGGCAAGTTAAAAACAGAATTCACTAGCCCAATAGCAAAATCCACTGGCCCCGGGCTATCAGACACAACTTTCTTTGCTTGCTGCAAATTAACAATATGATCCTTCACTACCAGGGTTTTTACTAAGATTTCAAGGGTAGGGAATTAAACAGTAGGGAGTTTCCTTTGGTTTTACTCTGCTTTTGCTTGCCATTAAAGTAGTTGGGGTTATGCTTGTACAGTACATACAGCTGTAGTAGCCTGGAAAGTCCCTGGCCCCCTCCCTTAGTGACAGTCCTGCTTCACAGCAGTTTGTGGCGACATGTTGCAGCGACAAATTATTGCTTCGTGTGCGCTAAAGAATTTTGTGAAAATCTTTGTCTGCACAACAGAATTTTGTTGCCGCAACAAGTCGCACAAAATCAAATCAGACAGAATTTACGCTTGTTGCAGGGACAAAATTCTCTTGTTGAGACAAAGATTTCCACAACAATTCTCCAGTACAAGTTGTCGCTGCGACATGTTGTGTAACTTGTTGCGGCAATTATCACCCAACCTGATCATACAGAGTGATTTGTCACTGCAACGTTTCGCCTAGTGTGTTCCTACCTTAAATTTTTGCAGGTATAAAGTCTGGTCTTATGTCGAGACTCAACCAACAAGAACAGACTATAATGCATCTTCAATCTGATACACTAAAACACGAGTTCATGCAGCAACAACATGAATCAGAAGTAGCACAGTTTAAATGGCAGCTTGCGGAGAGAGATAAAGAGGTGTCTTCCCTTAGAAATGAGCTGATTCGCCGAGAGAAGACATTGGATAAACAGAGAGCAGAGCTTGAAGATGCTATCAGGCACATAGAAGAGCTTAAGTATGCACAGGTACTGAGTACAGGGTTTGTAGGTGTACTGTGTGTTCTGGTTCAATAATTATTTTTATTGTTGGTTCAAATTTTCTTTTCGTTTGTTGATAATTAGTAACAAAGGGAAATAAAATTAAACCACAGTATACTCAATTGTTATATTGTATAAAATCGGTCTTTTGTTATCTTCTTTCATGTGTGGTTCCAGTAGGATCCTTGCCCAAGGGACGTGGATCCACATGGATGATTACAGGCATACAGTAAAAAAAAAGAAGCTATACAATTGCCTTTTGTAAATAGCCCTTACACCAACATGACTAGCACAGAAATTAAAAATTATGAATATCATTTTTATGAATTGCAGACAGGACCTAACAGATATGTAGATGACCACAAAATCATGGAATTGCAGCAGAGAATAAGAGATCTTCAGGCAAAGCTTGATTCTGTTGGCAGTCATGAGGTAAGGTGTCATGTCACCATGCCATTGGGTGGGGCAGTCAAGTTGGTTTTTGAGGAGAGGGGAAAACAGTACCCAGAGGTCAACCTCTCAAAGCAAGGAAGAGATCTAACAACTAACTTAACCTACATGTGGCGTCGATGCCGGGATTTGAACCTGGGCCACATTGGTGGGAGGAGAGTGCTCTCACAACTGTGCCACTCTTTCTCCCCTTGCTCTCCTTGCTTTCATTCGATTCTTGGAAAGCTCTGTTATTGACGGACTTGTTTTAACAATCAATCACTTGTTTTAGGCTAGCCTGTCAGCTCGCATTTCCTCACAGGATGAAAAAATGGCATCATTAGAGGACAGGATTTTAAATCCACAGAGTGTTCAAAGCTCGGCATTTATTTCTCACGGATCAAAAGTAAGTTCTTATTTTGTAATAAATAGTTTTCCTAATGGATTTACAATGTAACAGGTTAGTTTCATGGAAAATTTCAACACTTAACAGCCGACAAAACTTAATGGTAATCAATTTCTTTCCTTTGTTGCATTTTGCAATCAATTATTGTATGTCTCAAGCAAAAACTAGCATTTCTGGGNTCTCCTTGCTTTCATTCGATTCTTGGAAAGCTCTGTTATTGACGGACTTGTTTTAACAATCAATCACTTGTTTTAGGCTAGCCTGTCAGCTCGCATTTCCTCACAGGATGAAAAAATGGCATCATTAGAGGACAGGATTTTAAATCCACAGAGTGTTCAAAGCTCGGCATTTATTTCTCACGGATCAAAAGTAAGTTCTTATTTTGTAATAAATAGTTTTCCTAATGGATTTACAATGTAACAGGTTAGTTTCATGGAAAATTTCAACACTTAACAGCTGACAAAACTTAATGGTAATCAATTTCTTTCCTTTGTTGCATTTTGCAATCAACTATTGTATGTCTCAAGCAAAAACTAGCATTTCTGGGCAAATCCTTCTAAATTTGACTTGGTTCATAACATTACAAACCGAGTCAAATTTAGAAGGATTTTAATGGAGTCATCAGAGCATAACTGGGCTTATAATTATCTCAGAGACAATTTGCCCGGAAATGCTAGTTTTTGGCAAGTGGGCCTCTTGGGTGTTGTTCTTTCAGAATATCCTGACAAATCCCATAATTTTCGCAAATTTAATTTTTATGACATCATCACTTTAGAACTCTATTCATTTGACACTATTTTAATTGTACATTTTCCAGACTAAGTATTCATCCGTTAAGATACAAATTATTCGTACAAATAATATGTCAATATGATAATCAATATTAATAATATTAATTTAAAACATTGGACTCAGCCGCAAGTATCTGTGCGTACATTGTTTTGACAGAGATCAGAGGAAATGGAGGTAGTGCGTGAAGCCATTGAAAGTCTAAGAAGCTGTTTTAGAGCACATGATCCTCATCATCACACACTGGATACACTAGAACAGGTAGTGTAGGTATACACTTTTTGTGTTACAACCAATGAAATTCCAAAGCCACCATTGAAAAATGGGCTGACATTTTTTTTCTGTCTTGTAGAGTATTTATGCAGTCCAGTCGTCAACAAATCAGCCGTTCCACTATTTGGATTCTGATCCAGAAAACAGTAATATAAAGGCAAGGACAGAGTATTGACTTATGCCATTTTCATGAGTGGTAATTTACATGTTTAAACAGGTCTAAAAACTCTTAAAAATTATAACATGGTCAGGTTGACGGTGTGGCCTTATCTTTTTTCAGGGAGTAAATGGATTTGACCATAGTAATGGATACAATAGTAAAACACCAGCATCTTCTAGAACTCCAGGTAGTATAATATGCTTAGCTTGTTCCTTGGCTTTGCAGAGTGAGGTTATAAATTGGCCAAAAATTGTTTTGCACATGTGTAGCTTGAGACAGTTGAATCTCACCTAACCCATTTACTGGTATGCATATTGTGGGTTGGCATCTGCAGTTGCTTAGCAACAAAGCCATCAGAATTCAAAACCACAAGAACTTGTTTGGCTGTTTCTTCGGCCATTTTAGCGATCAAGAAACGCTTTTCATAATGAAGAAAAATTGAACATTATTTCACTAGATCGTGACACATTCTAGGCTTCTGATCAGAGTTGTCATAAAGAGCCTTAACCCACGACACCTGTTATGGCTGAGCTTGATCATTCTATGTTACAGGTGATCAAAGTGGAAAGCTAAAGGTGGCACTATAGATTTTTGTGAGATGTTCCGGGTGAATCTTCATTTGCTATGGCTGCTTCAAAACTTAATGACAGCCCTACTGATTACGACTCCGACTCCCTCACTAGTGAAAACCAGCCTTTAAACCCATGTCTAGTAGATACCAGTGGTGGTCACTGCCCCACTGTCATGTTTTTTTATGTGCCATTGGGAATTGATCCTGGGTCTTAATGGCTCTGAAGCCTGGTACCCAACCAGTATTGTATGAGCTAATGAGTCCTGAAGCTAACCCATCAGACAAGATAAATCCACAAGTATTATAATTTTTTCTTGGTTAATGACTTTTATTTGGTTACAGGAGGTGCTACTTCTGGAACGTCAGGAATCAGCACCAAAGTACTGTACTTTACAGAGAAAACCGTCACACCTTTTCTTACATCCATTCCCAGAAGGTGAGAGTAGTAGAGCCCTGTGAATGCAATGGTTAGTAGAGGCAGCGTGGCCGAGTGGTTAGAATGCTAGACTTGTAATCGGGAAGCCCCAAGTTTAAGTCCCGCCCTGACTGCTAGCTGCATTTGTTCTTGGTAGTCCCAAGCTCAAATCCTTGGCCACGCTTGTAAATAGTCAACTGGTTCGCCTCCTGCCAGTTGGGATTCTAAAACATATTATGTTCTATTTGAATTATTGTTTCACTATCCCTGAAAAGCCCCATAAGGAGAGTGGATAATTAAGTACTCCTTCTTCTTATTATTATTATTATTATTATTATGGTTTCTCACAGTGCAACTACTGGAACCAGGGCACTTGAAAGAAGATTATCCAATCACAACATTTTTTTGAAAACAGAAGATTCTCAAGTTTTTTTTTAAATGTGAACAGACCAATAAAAATCAAGGGAAAACTATGCAACCAATAAAAATTTTTAAAACCATTGAACTTACCTGACTTTCAGAAAACAGCCCTCAAATTTACGATTGTTGCTGGTCCGTTTGCAAAAAACAACTTGAGAATCTTTTGTTTTTGGTTGGATAATCTTCTTCCAAGTGCCGCCATTCGAGTAGTCGCACTGTAAACGCTAGCTGTGTGAAGTAAAAACATACTTGTTTAGTCTACCAGTCAAAATCCCTATGAAATAAATTCCCATCAGATTGTGTTAGTACAAGTGGGTCGCCGTGAACTGCAAGCTCTTCTTCCTGTGTTTAAGTTGTAATATTGGGTTACTGACTGAGGGTACTTTCTTCTGGATTTCAGATTGGGTGAAATAACTTTAGGGGATTTTAAGGAGGCTATTGACAGACCTGGAATGTTTCGCTATCACTTCAAAGCATTAGATCCTGAATTTGGAACTGTCAAAGAAGAGGTTTGTACATGTTCGCATTTTAATTATTAACTGTTTTTGTGTATGATGAAATCAGGACTGTACTTGTACCTTCTCTGACAAAAAAGGAATGGTGTGGATCACAGTCACACGGTCATACCCAGAAAAAAGCTGTAGTATGACAATTTTTTTGCGTAGATCTGAGAAGAAAATAACATGTTCTGTCTCGGTTCTAGCTAATTATTTTTTATCTTAGGTAATTTTAAGTTTTCCTGTTTCAACTTCATTAGAATACCTTACCATACCTCCAAACAAAAGAAAACAAACATTACCTAAGATAAAAAATAACTACAGCATCTCCAACATGAATTGAACTAATAGTTTCTTAGATCCTTCTATGCAGTATTTTCATGTGATTACATGTATATTATTTTATTAAAATCACAACATAGTCAAGAACATTTTCAGTGCTTCAAGCCCAACTTTTTCAGAAGATATAGTATTAATTTTAATGGTCACCAGACATATATAAAATATCAGTGGTCAGAAAAAGAAAATACATGAAAGTTTTGAACAAATTAGGTAAATTGACTGCCCAACCATCAAAAATACATTCAGAGGTGCACATGACATCTCAAGACTTTTTATTTAATACCTTGGCAACTAGTGTAAATTATAAAGAAAACAAAGGGAGAATTATTTCTCTGCATGCAAAATGTTGATCTCTTGTATGCTTTAGAATGACCATAAACATGACTAAGAAGAGCATTATGACTTAGCCAATACTTTCGCTGCAATCTTATGATGACCGTGGTTGTAGCCTGGAGTGCTTGTTTCAAATGCAAATGGCATTTATTTGTGATAGAAGATTGCTGATTATTAATCACAGGTTATTGACGACAGTGACTTGGTGCCTGGCTGGGAAGGAAAAATTGTGGCTTGGGTCGAAGATGATACGGGACAAAAGCTTTTGAGTAATCAAGAACAAATTATGTCATGATGAGGATTACATTCAAATTACTAATTTTAATTATTAGCTATAAATAATATTATTGTTTGTTAGATATATTATAATGATGTGTACAAAGCCTGCACAAGACAGATGTATAGCAAAAGAGGTACCTTTGTGGTGAACCTTCAGACATGGGGTTTTAAACTCCCTAGATGATGTGAATAAAGATATAGTATGTTTGGGAATAGGTCTTGCCTTCTCAGCGACAGAGAAGTTTAGATTTGAGGATGAGAATGAGTGTGAGATTTAACTCAGAGTTTTTGCATGTGTTCTCAAAAAAGCGATGCCCCGGAAAGCTTCATTTCACTTTTTTTCACCAAAAAAATCAGTACAGTTATAATATTTATACTGAAGGAGGTGAAGCCCTCTCCCAATAGCAAAATTATAAATCCTCTTACATTTGATAACATTTTCCCACCACATTCTCACTAAAACTTGTAGTAGAATGAAAACTGCTATCACGTTTTTCTGCCAAAATGACACTGGTTCACGCGTGAGTAATACTAAGTATTGAGAGAATCTCATATTCGTAGTCATCCTCATCTCAGAATCTAAAGCTCTCTATTCGTGCATGCCAACTATTGTATTTGGGTAATTGTAAATAATAGTACAATAGAGTATTTTCACTTGTGTGGCCAGCATTTATGCAAGTTTACTGGAACAAAAAGAAGCCTTTTCATAAGTAAAGAGTTCAACTCCCACAGAATTGGTTTGGGACCCCAACATGGCCGCCATGTCATTGTTTTGGGACACCAATATGGCCGCCGTGATGTCATGTGAAAACATTCTATACAGTCAAACCTCCAATAAACGACCAGCAAAAATGCATAGGGTAAGTAACTCCAGTTCTCTTATGGGAGGTGGTTGTTTACAAGAATCGAACCACTGGGGGTCTCTTCCAAGTCAAAGTCAGGACTCATCTACTTTATTAGCCTGCAGTGCAGGCGCATTTTCGGCGGGTGAAAGCTGCTTGTTTATGTTCGTACAGTTGTAACTGCCATCTTTGATGTTATGATGGAGGAAGATTAGGGAACCCCGCTCTTTTTGACTCGCCTTGTTTCCCTCTTTTTGAGCTTTAACATGGCGCTTTCGTGAGCAAAACATTAGCACGCCTGAAGAAAACGCCTGCACTGCAGGCTACTACTTTATGGAAGATAATTTATTGCATGCCATATGTTTAGTTCCATGTTCTCACTAAAAGTTCTTTGTATATTTGGAGCAGCATTGTAAATGCAGCAAACATAGATATCACACCATGCATCAAGTGATAACTTACAAGAGGTTAAACGCAAGAGAAAATAATAAAAATGTCAGCCCCCCAAAGTGGTTGTGATTGCTTACAGGAGGTGGTCGTTTGTAAGAGTTTCAAGTGCAAGGCTTTGATAGGGAAAAATCTGGTGTTTTGGGTAGTGGGGTCACTTATGTTAGGTGGTCGCACATGGAGGTTTGACTGTATTAAGTTGTTTATTGTCATCAGTTTCAGGACTTTGCTCCAGAAGATGGCAGTGACCCTTAGCTCCTTACTTTTTTGCTCTTGGGTGACTAGGAAATGTTAGTTTTTTTTTTTCCATAAGAAAACATCTGCGAAGTCATTTGTGGGAAATAATAACGAGCTTAGCTAACAACGATTGCAACGTCAACGAGAATGGCAAAAACGCAATAGGTCTAGGTAAACAAAACAACAACTCTGCATGTGCGTCTTGCGTTTTTTTACATTTCTTTGCTGTCACTAGACGACTAGAACATAAAATGCCTGATTTCATGTTTTGTGGAGAGTGTGAACACAAGACAACAACTTTATTTTTTTTTTGCTGAACTCAATACAGTCTTTTATAATTCAACGAAAAAAGAACAAGTGCGATAAAGTTTGAAGCAGCACAACTTCACTTTTTAAGTGACATTTTCGTAGCCATCGCTGTCGTTGTTGCTTAAGCTCCCTAATGATACAATAGAAACGCCTCGTTTTTGACTGGTAAACAAGTTATGTTTAGTTGTATTATTTTTTTCCTGCTGTGAAAGTTAATATGATAATATATGATAATTTATTACTACTAATAATATTATTTTGATGACTTAAAAATGTTACTTTATAACAGTTGTTATTTGTACCAGTCTTTCCTCTAGAATGCACTGAAACCTGCTGGGTGAAGGCTGTGATTGTTTGTGAGTCTAGCTGAAATGATGTCCGGGCTAGTAAATGCTAGCTTCAGCTGGCCCTAATGGCAAGCTGTAAGAATGATTTTCTTTGTACCCTGTCAAGGTTTTTTATTTGATACCTTGACAACTAGGGTGAATTATAAAGAAAACAAAGCGAAAATTATTTCTCTGCATGCAAAATGTTGATCTCTTGTTGCTTTAGAATGACCATTAACATGACTAAGAAGAGCACTATGACTTAACCAATACTTTTGCTGCAATGATGACCATGGTTGCAGCCTGGAGTGCTTGTTTTAAATGCATATGGCAATTATTCATGATAGAAGATTGCTGACTATTAATTACAGGTTATTGACAACAGTGACTTGGTGCCTGGCTGGGAAGGAAAAATTGTGGCTTGGGTCGAAGATGATACAGGACAAAAGCTTTTGAGTAATCAAGAACAAAATATGTCATGATGAGGATTACATTCAAATTACTAATTTTAATTATTATTAGCTATAAATAATATTATTGTTTGTTAGATATATTATAATGATGTGTACAAAGCCTGCACAAGACAAATGTATAACAAAAGAGGTACCTTTGTGGTGAACCTTCCGACATGGGGTTTTAAACTCCCTAGATGATGTGAATAAAAAAATAGTATGTTTGGAAATAGGTCTCACCTTCTCAGCAATAGAGAGTTTTAGATTTGAGGATGAGAACAAGGACGAGATTTAACTTAGAGTTTTTGCATGTGTTCTCAAAAACGTGATGCCGCGGAAACCTTCATTTCACTTTTTTTCACCAAAAAAATCAGTACAGTTATAATATTTACACTGAAGGAGGTGAAACCCTCTCCCAATAGCAAAATTATAAATCCTCTTACATTTGATAACTTGTTGCAACCACATTCTCACTAAAACTACTTGTAGTATAATGACGACTGCTATCACGTTTTTCTTCCAAAATGACACTGGTTCACGAGTGAGTAATACTCAGTATTGAGAGAATCTCATATTCGTAGTCATCCTCATCTCAGAATCTAAAGCTCTCTATTCATGCATGCCAATTATTGTATTTGGGTGGTTGTAAATAATAGTACAATAGAGTATTTTCACTCGTGTGGCCAGCATCTATGCAAGTTTACTGGAACAAAAGGAAGCGTTTTCATAAGAAAAGAGTTCCAACTCCCACAGGATTGGTTTGGGACACCAACACGCCTGCCATTTCATTGTTTTGGGACACCAATATGGCCGCCGTGATGTCACGTGAAAACATTCTATACAGTCAAACCTCCGATAAGAGGCCGACCAAAATGCATAGGGTAAGTACCTCCAGTTCTCTTATGGGAGGTGGTTGCTTACAAGAATCGAACCCCTGGGGGTCTCTTCCAAGTCAAGGTCAGGACTCATCTACTTTATGGAAGATAATTTATTGCATGCAATATGTTTAGTTCCATGTTCCACTAAAAGTTCTTTGAAAACTGTGAGCAACATTGTAAATGCAGCGAACTTAGATATCAGACCATGCATCAAGTGATAACTTACAAGAGGTTAAGCACAAGAGAAAATAATAAAAATGTCAGCACCCAAAAGTGGTTGTGATTGCTTACAGGAGGTGGTCATTTACGAAAGTCTTCAAGTGTAAGGCTTTGAGAGAGAAAGGTTTGGTGTTTTGGGTAGGGGGGTCACTTATGTAAGGTGGTCGCACGCGGAGGTTTGACTGTTTTAAATTGTTTATTGTCATCAGTTTCAGGACTTTGCTCCAGCAGATGCCAGTGGCCCTAAGCTCCTTATCTTTTTGCTCTTGGGTGACTAGGAAACGTTAGTTTTTTTTCCATAAGAAAACATCTGTGAAGTCAGTTGTGGGAGATAATAAGGAGCTTAGCTAACAACGATGGCGACATCAACGAGAACGGCAAAAAGGTAATTGGTTTAGATTGGCAAAACAACAACTCTGCACGTGCATCGTGCTTTTTGTACATTTCTTTGCTGTCACTGCACAACTACAACATAAAATGCCTAATTTCCTGTTTTGTGGAGAATGTGATACCGTGGGAACAGAGTCTCCTTGGATCTTCCTAGATAGGAAATATCGAAGCGACTCTGTTAGCAGGGTAAGAATGTGAACACAAGACAACAACTTTATTTTTCTTTTGCTGAACTCCATACAGTCTTTTATGATTCAATTCCAGAAAAAATTGCCAACATTTGATGAACTGAACAAGATAGAATAAGTGCGATAAAGTTTGAAGCAGCACAACTTCACTGTTTAAGTGACGTTTTCGTAGCCATCGCCATGGTTGTTGCTTAAGCTCCCTAATGATACAATAGAAAGGCCTCGTTCTTGACTGGTGAACAAGTTATGTTTAGTTGTATTATTTTTTCTTGCTGTGAAAGTTTACATTTCATGCGAAATATATATATTAAATAATGATGATTATTATAATAAAACTACTGAATTTTTACAATGAAATATTGTCAACAATAAACATGGTCAGAAAGGAGATCTTACGTGACTTTGGACGACCCACTTCCGACACTAACAAACACTCTGAGTGGAGACCTATGTAGATAGAATGTTTAGAATTTTTGGCCAAGCAAACAAGTCTTAAGCACAAAAGTACATACAGTGGAGCTTTGATATAATGAACCTCTGTATAATGAAGTCCTGAATACGTCAAACGATTTTCTTTATCCCAGGAATAGTAAAATATGTGAAAAAGAACCGCAATATGATGAAGCCTTGTTTTAGCAAACAAATTTTTCCAGTCCCTTGGCCCTTCGTTATGTCGAGGTTCCACTATAGTTTACTGTACTGTTATTCTAAGTGCTGACTTTTTGCATGTGACAGTTAAGGAATTGCAAACAAGAGTGTGAAATGTTGCAACTTAACGTTAAGCTGAATACAGTGTTTCAATGCATGACTGTATAACCTGGAGTTATTATGGCATGTGGTCTTATTTAATGTAATACTTGCAGAACCATTATTATGTACATAATGTAGGAAAATATTAATATGAGTAGAATGACTATTGGTGACTAGGATGACTTTCACATGGTTCTCTTAAAAAAAAAAATGTTTTTAATACAAAATTTAATATTGTTACATTTTGCACAATGTCCAGCACCTGTTAGTGTGGAATAATATTATCAGAATGTAAGTAAAGTGTAGATAAGAATAGAAATAACATGTGTATTTGTTCAAGAGGTGAAAATAACTATTATAAAATATATTTTGCTTTATTTAAGAGAAGTGCTCTTAATTTTGCCTTTGGAGGAAAAAATATTGCAGGTTTTAAACCTTCTGAATCTTAAATAACAGGGTCACTGATACAAAATTGACCAATCAGATCAATCGTACCACTGTCTTTGTAATAAAATAATTTTTTTTGAGAATTTTTTTTCTTCAGAATAAGTGTGGTTTGTAACCTAACTTCAACAAGCTCAACAGCAATGAAATCTTATTTACATTTTTTATAAACTTTAAAATCTTAAATTGTTCTTTACAAATTCAGACATTAGTATTACAAAACTGTAATTGAAAAAATGACCAAGCATTCAAAAAAAATTTAATAGGAGCAAAATCATCTAGAAAAAAGAACATGAACGTTTTTTTGCTGCGATATTATGGCTCAATCTTCTATAAAAACAATATACAAATGTTCTGAAGAATAAAAGGGAATCAGATGTTTTGTCTTCAAATTGTACAAAATAACATCAATAAAAATTGCCCCAGTCCCCAGCTTTTTCTAGCCATTTGTTACAGCCCAGGAACTCCTGTTTTTTTTTCTACCTGCTAAAATGTTCTGTTGTACACTGTAGAAGGGGAAAGCATAAGAAAAGTAGTGAATTGGTTAATGTAGAAACTTTTTATATGTATACAAGATTGTGCCAAGTGAGGCTACGTATTCATGTCCCAAAAACAGTTCCGTCTCTCATGAACATAAAAATCAAAGTCATGGCATTTGCCACATGTTTTAATGCCGCATCGATACTCCAAGGGGTGCCCATTGTCATCTTCTCCTTGGCATAATTTCAGTTTACAGGGATACCAGCTTATGCAGACTTCACTTCTACAGATGCACTCTGCACTGAGTTCCGAAGTGTCCTTGCAATGTTTTAACACCTTTAAAAAGCCAGACTGATCCTGTGATGCTAATTCTAGCTTGTCAAGATCTTCTCGTGTTGAATTTTCTGTAAGTAAAAAAGTACTATGATGTTACTTGTCCACTTATTTTAATTAAGTCACAGGAATAGGCCATTTTAAGTAGTCCCAAGCCTCTGTTTCAAAGTGATGCTAAGTGCAAAGCCATTGATATGAAAAATATTAATGATTTTTTCTTCCTCATGCAAATAAAACTCTTTTTCACAAGTAAGGTTTTGCACTTTGCCTCAAATTGAAAGTGAGTTTTTTCAATTCAGAAACGGCCTATTCTACTTGTTTAGAATATCAGGGAGTAGATTTTAGATTCAGCCGACTCTAACAACTGAGAAAAAAATTTAACACCTACACAAGTTAATTCCAGATTATGGTCAAGGTGTTCTAAATATGATCAGCACAAAGTCATAGCCAGGCTTGGTTACCATGACAACTGAACTCATATGCTCTGTTCGTAGAGATCAGGAGAGTACTACCAACCAGGCTTTGAACCACTTGGGTCACATTGGTAAAATCATAAACACAGTCATATTCCCCTTGCTTTTTTACCTCTGTCATAATTTTGGGAAGCCATTTTTACATCCCTTTAGGATTGAGAAACGGATTATAAGTTGGATAGGAGTTTAAAAAATAAGAAAATAGCAAGACCATAAAGAGAACTTTTCAGTGGCTTTGCTCTTCATTTAATAAAAGGTTGACAGATTGATAACGATTGAAATGCACCCAAACTCTCATGCCATATCAGTGAAGCCTCAAGACAAGAACATTGACCTCACACGTGCAAACTGCCTGACTTATAAATGCAGGCAACTTGTTCATTGGCACATTGATGGACAACAGGCCCTTTTCCAACTGTCATTGGTGATTTTTCCAGTTTTCCATTAGTAACCTTTCACCAAGTCATCAGAACTTCACTGGAAAATGTCCAGTGGTTGCAATGATTGGAAGTAGTTGGAACACTAGGTATCTAAATAAAGGCTCAGAAGCCACTGAAATGTTATTACAGATCTAGGTGAAACAGAGGGGGAAATCTACTGGTAGATTTGACTTGAGAAAAAACTGTCAGTAAATGAGTCCTATATCCATCGACAGCAACTAGGGCTATGATGAGAATGCAACAGGCTCGTTCATCTAAGGGGCCCTAAGAGGGTTCTTCAATCCCACCTTCTCAACCGAAATTTTCTCCCAATCTTGTTATCACATTTGGTCAATAGCGGTATCCTACATCCAGTGCATACTCTCAATCCCGAATCTCACCCAATTTTACTTTAACCCTTTGAGTCCCAATGGTGATCAACATCAATTTTCTCCTAACCATACATTTACAAGAGATTAGGTAATGAGAATAAAATGATCACCCAAGAGAAAATGCCTTGATCTTTTATCAAATTCTCTCAACACATTCTTTAAGGAAATGTATGGAGACCAGTTTGGAGAATATTTGTTTCTGTATATGACTTCAAATAAAGCAAATCCCGCATCCTGTAAAACCTTTGGGAACCCTCACAACTCTCCCTGGTGGCTGAGCACTGCATACCTGATAACAATAACTTGGGATCTGTTCCTTTGAACAACACCTTGCCAGCATCTTTACACAATTCTGTCAAGTTTTTATCCAGGACATCAGTAGAAGTGAGGCTGACAACATGATCCATGATGTGAGAATCACTTCCAATATCATCTTCTGGAATTCGAATTGTGCTGGGGTTTTTCTGCAAATGGAATACAAATTTTGTCTGGGTTTGCTCTGAAAGACCAATTTTTCATCATCATCATCTTCATTATATTTAACATTATCATTATCATTATACTGTAAAAATAATAATCAAACACGAGAATCTCAAGTTTTCAAACCTACTGGGGAAACAAAATTGGTTTGAATTATAACAAAGGTTTTGGTTGAATTGTTTAGTTTGGAGGTTAATTTTATTGAGAAACCAGGAGTTTGTAGCCTGCGAAAACATCTGTTTCTCCTCACTCTTCATAGCTGTGGACGTTTCGCTCAGAGGAACGTCTGCGACTCAGCGACAGAAATTACATACTGATGACGCAAATCAATGTTTACATAATGAATCTGGTAGTCATAGGGTTCCAAATATAAATTTGTCCAATTTTATGTGTCTTCTGGTCGATTTTGGTAAAGTGTGGTGTTCATCTGCCAACGAGCTCCAGCAAAACTCAAATACTTCTTCTAGAGAAGACTATATTCCACAAATATTGACTGTTTTGTAAGAGATTGTTCAAATTTACATGAAAAAGGCCACAGAGGTCAAATTTTGACCTCTGTGGCCTTTTGTCTTTTGTCTGTCAAGACTGTCATTTGTAAACAAAAGCTAAAACAATGTAACTACTCTGTCGACCAATCAGCGCTTCTGACTGGATTCTGGACATATTTTATGTCATCAGTATGGAATTTTTGTCGCTGATTCGCAGACGTTCCTCTGCGCAAAATGTCCCCAGCAGCGAAGAGCGAGGAGAAACAGATGTTTTCGCAGGCTAAGGAGTTTGAAACTTGCCATTAATAGGGCATTAACAAAATTTTTGTATTTTTTATTAATGATAACAATAATAATAAAATGCTGGTAGTGGAAACCCTATGAAAAGTGTGTAGCAATGGAAATGATATTACGTTGGCAAATAAAATGGTTCGTTGTTATTCACCAGTTTTGTTATTTTTATAAATGCTATTATTATTATTATCAATAATGTACTATTAACCTGTCTCAGCTTTGACATGGCATCAGAAGAGATAAACTCATCTTCTACAAGTTCTGTTACAAAGCACATGGCTTCATACGAACTTTCAGCTTTGTCCATTTCCCCAAGAACAGTGACCTGGAATATCTTCCGTTTCTAAATGAGTAGAGAAAACATATTTATCAATATCGCGACTATAACATTTACGCTCTGTAAAACACTCAGGTCTATGTGTAATAGTTTTTGGGGTAATCCACAAAGTACAAAACACCCACTCCACTAAAATATCTCAAACACAGCAGGAGTACAGCCTCCTTCAGTATTTTAAGAGTATTGATTAGTACTCTTTAAGAAAAAATTATAAGGGATAAAATTTTGGACACTTTAATGATAGAATCTGCAAAAACTGTGCACTGTGTGTGAAGAAAAATGTTAAATGTTAGCCCTGTGACTAAATTTTCAACAGCAATAAAGGATTTTTTTAAATGCTTTGTCTGGCAGTCAAAATTTTCTTATGTTACCCTTTTGAATTCTTTGTCTCCTAACAAACAGCTCTGAGCACTAACCATTTTCGCATAATCTACGCAAACGTAAAGAAAATCTGACTACCAGACATCATGGATAATAGAAAGACTGGCAGTCTTTCTATTATCCATGCAGACATCAAGTATATGTTTTGAAACTTCTGTCCGACCACAGGTGGCCCAGAAATAGTGTGTGTCAACAACATGAACTAAAGTAGTCCAGAAGTCAAAATATAACAAAACAAAGCTAACATACCTTTAACTGACCATCTCCTTGTCTTTCCTAGCCAGTTACAGACGCATTTTGTCGAGTTTTGCAATCGTAAGCACTGTCCACTCTTTAGTAAACGAAACTGCAAAACTCGACAAAATGCCACTTCAACCGATCAGGAAAGACAAGGAGACGTTCAGTTAAAGGTATGTTAGCTTTGTTTTGTTATATTTTGACTTCTGGACTACTTTAGTTCATGTTGTTGACACACACTATTTCTTGATTTTTAGTTCATGGGAGATTCGACGACTTATCCCATTTTGTCCATGTTATTGACACACATTACGTCTGGGCCGCCCGTGGTCCGACTGCCCGTTGAATACTGGACGTAGAGACAAACAACCTTCCTAACTGTGTTAAAAGACAGCTAGCAATGTGTATCGATTATTAAGAAGAAAGGTACACATTTTAGTGCCTCGGAGGCTTGTAAGTTGAGGTCGGAGTCTTAAAGAACGAGAAAACTCTGTGTAGTGGTTCGATCTTTCGTCGGTACTGTGGCAAGCTGCCGAATTTGCCATGTCGAGCCTACGATCCGAGCCATTTGAAATATTTTTCTGAGGTAATACCACGCTGGAGATAACGAAGTCTGCTACAGCAGATGGCTGGTGCTCAAAAGGTAATATTTATGGTAGAAAAATCACTAGAAGCTTTCAAAAGCCACGTTAAATAAAGTCAACATACCAAACGGAAGTCGATGTACACCGTAATATACCGACCCCCGTGAGTCATAAAATCAATCGTAACGTAGTCTTTTTCGGGATCTGAAAAAAAACTCTTCTGCACAATATCGCCATCTTTTGCTTTGATGTTGACAACGAGGTTTGAACAGCTGTTTTGGACGAGAAATACACATAAAATAAACCAAAAAATGGTCTCTTCGAGCGCCATCTTGTACGCTCTAAACATGAAGGACATGGATAGCAGAGGAAGTCTACTTCATCACAGGTTCCCCAAGCGAAATCCTGGTCGATCCTAGCACAGGTAGCCCAATAAAGGATGCCGAGAGGGAGAGTAAACCGTTTACATTACAACCCATAAAACGGCCAGACGTAACACATATTTTAAGTAAGGTAAGCTGTTTTTTATTGAAGTTCTTTCATTTTCGTAGGTTACAAAAACGTTATTTTTTCCCCATACAAATCCTTACATTTCGAAATATTTTCTCTCGGTATAACTCAACCTCGTCCCCAGGGCTTTTCCCTCAAAAAATGGGTGGGGAGGGAAAAAGCCCTGGGGACGAGGTTGGGTTTAACTCTGGCCCTGAGGAAGGCTAATTTTGTAAGCTAAAATATTGGCCTATAATAAATCAGCCCTTTCCCGTAGTACCAGCCTTGCATTCAGTTTTGGTTTATTTTACACATCAAGTGACGTCTGGCCATAGCATCTCTTTAATCAGAGATCCGGCAAGAGGAACCCGTCACTTTTGTTTGCGCGTTGCGTGGACCGCTGCATTCAAATAGTTTTTCCTATAAACAATTAGCAACAGCGATGAAATTTTTGCATGTACACTGATTTTCCCCTTGTTCTCCTTGTTCCCCCAGTTCTCCTTGTCCCCTTGTTCCCCCTATTGACCCTATTCCCCTATTCTCCTGTCCCCCCTGTACCCGCCGTTTTACTGCTTCCCCTCTCCCCTTGTACCCCTGTTCCCCTTCTTCCCCTTGTTCCCCTTCTACCCACTGTTCCCAACACTTTGGAGAAAAAAAGCAACAGGGTGAGAAGGGGAACGAGGTACAGGTAGAACAAAGGGAAACAAGACGAAAAGGGAGAACAAGGGGAACAGGGCAACAGCGTTAACAGGGGAAAGAAGAGAAACAAAGGAACGAGTGAAAAGGGGGAACAAGGGTAACAGAGAAAACAACGGGAACAAGGGGGGCAAGGGAAACAATAGGAACAGGAGAACAACGGGAACAAGAAAAACAGAAAAACAAGGGAACAGAGAAACAGGAGGAAACAAGGAGAACAAAGGGAACAAGGAGGAACGAAGGGAACACGGGACCAAAAGAAATAGGGAAATAAGGGGGAACAACAAGAACATGGCAACAGGGGAACAAGGCCAACTGGGAGACAAGGGGAAAATAAGGAAACAAGAGAAACTGGGGTGACAGAGGGAACAGGAGGTCAAGGCGAACAGGGGAGTCAGGGGAACAAGGAGGAACAAGAGCGAACAAGGGGGGTCAAGGAAGAACAAGAAGGAACAAAGGGGAACAAGAGGAAACAAGGAAAAGAGGGTAACAGGGAACCATGGGGTAACAAGAAGGAACAAGAGAGAACAAGGGGTACCAAAGGGGAACAAGAAGTAACAGAGGAACAAGGTGAAACAAAGGGGAACAAAGGGGAACAAGAGGGAACAAGGGGGAACAAGAGGTAACAAGGGGAACATTGGGTAACAAGGGGGAACAACGGGAACAAGGAGTAACAAGGGGAACAAGACCTCTGCTTGCGGGGTATGTTCACTGACCGAAGTGTTTTGAAACTCAGTGTTACAAGACACGTTTCAGGCCTTTACACGCGTGCCTTATCACGTGAATACCAGATGCAAGAGGGATTCGAACATTTAGTTGGTTCGTTTCTGTTATTCACTCAAACTAAAATCTCGAATCAATACCTGAGCACAAAAACTTTTCAGTGCGACCCGGCTCGCCCCCAGACGGGATGCTTTCACTTGAGTTTTAGACATTTTGAAAGTTGCCAACCAAATCTGGATCAGACTAAACTGAACAGGATCAATTCGCTTGATTAAGGTTTGGGATAGTGCTACAGCCGTATATCTAGCATAATCGCTCATAAGCCTCTAACAGTTTCTCTTACGTCGCTTCGCCACTTCGCCACTTCTCTTTTTCTACTCATCTTATATTTTTGTTGTATTTTACTAATAAATAAATAAATAAATAAGTAAATAAATAAATCAGTATCTGATCCCGCCCGTCAGCATGACGTCATTTCTAAATCTACAAGACTGATAGACAATGGAAAATTTGTTTACTTTTTTACCCAGACCTATACTCCTGCTGAAACGGTACAAGTGGTTTAAGTCTGTATGAGGGAATCACCGTCTGCCACCCTTTTCGTTTCATGGTTGACCATGGTTACAATTAAAACATCTAGACTCAGGTTTCTAAAAGTGCTTAAACGATTGAGAGTAATTTCCCGGGATATAGGTGTGGACAACAACATGACATATAGTCCATATACAACTGAGGACTTTGATTGGGAAGTGAGGGGTCACCTACAATCCAAAGGTTATCTGAGTTAATGAAGAATATCCTAAGAACAAGTTAATAGAAGCTGTGGAAGTGTTATTCCGACAGCTTTAACATAAGGAATACAGAGAAATTAACAGGACTGCTACTGTATGCGCGCCTTCCCCTGTTGCTCATCCTTGGCGTTCCTCCGGAAGTTGTACAGACTGCTCCTGACAGACCTCATGTAAACTAAAAGGGCGTATCCGCCCTCTACAAAAAAAATAAAAATCTATTAATAAGAGCACTCAATCCTGATTGTTTTAAAAGAGGGTAATTGCAACCAAGAAGAACTTCAATCATCTGCAATGATTACTAGCCATCCCATCTTGCCACACTCCAGAGTGGAGAGTTTTTAAAAAGCTGATTTCTACGGAACTTTTATGAGAACGATGACGTCACAGTATCTAATTTCGCGCGGGATAAAAATGTTTCACTGCATGTCATTGACCATCTTGCTTTTTTAGCCTCTTTTTTAAAACGATGCGTAGCATGTTTCAAGGCAATTTTTTCTTTCTGCAGGGTAAAAGACTTAAGTTTATCATGTTCAGAGTAGTATCTAAAACTGAACGTAAAAAACTCTCTTTGAGCAGATACGGATCACGGGATGACGGGCGCACAGATACTTGTGGACACGAATATTTTGCGATGTTTGCGGTAGCGTGAGCGCGGGGTCCAAGGCTATTGGGTTTTTGGAATGGATCTGAAGTGTTTCTAAAAATAGGCTCTATTTGCGACGACGCATTAGAGCATGACCTAAGGCCAGTGTTAACCAGTGACATTCGTATTTTTCGTGTAATTCTCGCTCAGCACACTTTCCTGAAATAAGGTAAAAAAAGAAAAGTAATAACTGGCGCGGAGGGTGACGATTGTTGCCTGATTTTTTTTTCTCGGGACAAGACCGTGGTGCGGTTCTCACTGAAAACACGGCATACAAAACAAAACAAAGCTAAAAGGTAAGACCATTCATTACCATAACATCGCGGAGATAGATTATCACGATACTAGAAAAATACAGTAGAACCCCGATAACTCGAACTCTGAAGGGAAACGAAAAACAGTTCGAGTTAACGGGGAATTCGAGTTATCAGGGTAAACTTCAGCGAAATTTTGATCAAGGCAAAGGAAATTTAGTTCGAGTTAGGAGCGAATTCGAGTTATCCAAATTCGAGTATCGAGGTTCTACTGGATCAAAATTGCGACAATCCTCATAAGCCAATAAAACTTGACCGTACCTTTAGAGTAACATGACAAAAATTGGAAAAACTGTTTGAATGCAGAGATCCACGCAACGCGTAAATATAACTGACTGGTTCCTTTCGCCGGATCTCTAATCAGTAAAGAGATGCTGTAGCCAGAAGTCACTTAAAGTGTAAAATAAGACAAAACTGAATGCAGGGCTGGCACGGCAAAGGGTTGATTTATTATAGGCCTATAATAATCAGCACTTTGCGGTAGTGCCAGCCCTGCAATTAGTTTTTTTTTTGTGACAAAAATTGGTTTTATAAAATGAGATGATGAGCGCATTCAGTTAAGAGTGCTAGGCCGAGCAAAAGCCATGAAAAATGCTAGCGCTCGAAACGTGATCGAAGTCTGATTCATTGTCGGCGATTTTCCCCATTTTTCGACCTCTTCCGGCTTGAGAAGCGTTGCGTGACGAGTAAAAGAACAGAGGCGTAGGAGACAGCCTTCTCTTGGCCTTGGCCGGTCGCAGTCACGTTCCTAATTTTTTACTCTCTTTAATATCAAAATAAATTACTAGGGATCTTTTATTCGCAGTTATTAAAAAAAAACTGGCGCCAAAAATACTTGCCGACACATTGTGAAAAGGTGAAAAGGGAAACGTTCGGTGGATAAACTGAAAAACATCGTGAAAAATTTTGTGAAAAAATGCAAATTTGAAAGTCTTGTCAAAAAGGTCAAACGTCAGAAAAACCCTTATCACGAGGCTTGCGGTAAACATTTTTAACAGTTTTTGCATTTTAGTCAGTAGCGGATCCAGGAGAGGGGCCCGGGGGGCCCGCCCCCCCAACTTATTTTTAGACCGAAATGAGGCCCGAAGGGCAAGAAAA